TATATATATATATATATAATATATATATATATATATATATATATATATATATATATATATATATATATATATATATATATGCATGTGTGTGTGTGTATGGATGGGTGTGCATGTGTGTATAAGCTAACAGTTTCATTGATAAATGATCGTACCGAAGCATCTTCATTTTTGATTCTCTTGTTCTCACTTCAAGGAAATGAGTAATGTTTGTTTTTTTTTCTCTTTTTTCTCTATCTTTATTTATTCTATTTTCTCTATCTATCTTTATTTATCTATCTTCTCTATCTATTTTTATTTATCTATTTTCTCTATCTATCTTTATTTATCTATTTTGTCTATTTATCTTTATTTATCTATTTTCTCTATCTATTTTCATTTATCTACTTTCTCTATCTATATTTATCTATTTTCTCAATCTATCTTCATTTATCTATTTTCTCTATCTATCTTTATTTATCTATTCTCTCCATCTATTTTTTATTTATCTACTTTCTCTATCTATCTTTATTTATCTATTTTCTCTATCTATCTTGATTTATCTATTTTCTATATCTATCTTCATTTATCTATTTCCTCTATCTTTATTTATCTATTTTCTCTATCTTTATTTATCTATTTTCTCTATCTATCTTTATTTATCTATTTTCTCTATCTATCTTTATTTATGTATTTTCTCTATCTATCTTTATTTATCTATTTTTTCTGTTTATTCATTTTTTCCATTTATTTCTCATTCGTGGTTTCCTTGCCGAACGATGGGTGACCTCCGAGAACAGTGTGAGAGGATGTCCCTAAAAACCCTGGAAGAGAAGGGCTTTACACGACGATGTCACAGACGAGGGCGGCGATGGAGGAGGATGTCCCGATAGACTCTGGTGGAGAGGGACTTCGCGCGCCGATCTTTTGCTTGCCAACTTATCGACTTGTAAACAGGGTTGTTGTCTTTACTGTTTGTCTGTCGATATCTGTGTGCTTTTCATTTTTTTTTCTGTGTGTCTGTGGCATTTTAGTTGTTGCTTTCTAAGGTTAATTGACTTTAGTGTCTTTATGTCTGAAGGTTACCTTTAATTTACCTATCACATCTTACGTTCGACTTTACCGTCACTGAAGAAAATAGAATGTTGTTATAACAGAAATTGGTGATTTTTTTTTACAACACCGTCAACAGCAGTTTCATCGCGTATATAGTCAGGCACAAGTTTGTAATAATTTGGATCCTCAAGCAAATGAGCAGTCATTCCGACTCTGCTTGCACGTTGCACACCAAGCAATTCTGGGTCATAGGCTGTATTACTGTTGAAGTTTGCTTTCTCTTTGTAATTTTGGGGAAAAACGATTGTAATGCTGAGGACAAACACCCACATTTTTTTCCGTTACTAGTGTGTATGTGCAAGCGCGCGTGTGTATGTGTGTGTATGTGTGTGTGTGTGTGTGCGTGTGTGTGTGTGTGTGTGCATGTATGAGTGTGTGTAATGAGACGAGGTCGGATTATGCGCCGTAATTCGCCAGTGCCAGTGACCTTCGCGAAATCTTGGGCAATGCGTCCGGAAATGCTCAAACTGGAATAACATTACCTGATCTCCCTGGGGAAAGGCGACCACTGTCTGCCTTGAGCCTCCACCTCGAAGGCAGTGTCGATTCAGGTTGAGTTGAAGGAGGCGGGGCCATCGGCGACGACTCCGCCCTCCAAGATGCCATATTGCCAAGAGCGGGATCCCGAGTCGCGGAAGGTGGAGGTCACACGTTGGTCGGAGGAGAAGGCGCGGTGGGGGGTGGAGGGGGGGGGGGTGAGTGTCAAGCAACTAGGTTCGCGAAGATTGCGGGTGTGCGACACGGGACAGTGGAGCAGTCAGGTCAAAGTCATGTCTATCTACCCATCCCATTCTCTCTCTCTCTCTCTCTCTCTCTCTCTCTCTCTCTCTCTCTCTCTTTCTCTCCACACACACACACACGCACACACACACACACACACACACACACACACACACACACACACACATATCTATCTATCTATCTATCTATATATATATATATATATATATATATATATATATATATAATGATGTGACGTGCTCAATATTAATCAATCGCGTGACATCGCGGGTCTTTCCAAGAAAATTGCGTTAAATTGCTGTTCTTACATATTAACAGTCTGTTGTTGCTATTTTTAGCCACCGACCAACTCAGTAATTAAGGAGAATCCTCACATAATGCATGTGTGAGGTAAGGGGATAGAAGGATTTGGGTTTAAATGGCAGTGTTTGCGCTGGTGTTGGTGTCGATTAATCTGCGGTAGCTTTTCCAGTCACCTGTGCTTCTAAAGGTAATTGTTAGTGTGGTCAGCAGCGCCACGCTAATGCTAACTAATCTATCGCACAATTATGTGGAAGACTCGATGCAAATGACATAATACCTACTCGTTAATCTCTCTCAATAGTTATCATGTCGGATGGCATTAGATCCCAAACGGCCCTTTATGCAAATGACGCACGGGTATTTGTGGCGTTAAGGACCTGTTTTACCAAGAGCTTCGATGTCGCCACAAATGAGCAGCAGCACGCCTATAATAAACATCCCCACTTATTCAAGAAATGCATTTTGAGGCAAATCTTACAATAGATTTTTTTTCAATAACTGAAATCCCCGTACAAGTAACCTACTTTATAAGTAAGCAATTTCTTTTATCTGATTTCAATTGTATATATGATAAAATATAATCTTTCATTACTTTATCCAGATCGGATTCAATGTTATCAAAAAGGGAAATGTGTTTTGGTAAGATCAAAGATCATGTGATCAGCAATAGTGATAATGTTTAATAATACTAATATTAAAGATGATAAAAATCCTAGTCCAAGCAGCAGAAAGCAATAAGAAGAGAAGAAAAAGGAAAAACACGCCAATAAACATTTACAGTAAATGCTTAAAGTATAATTTGCGAGAAAGATAATTTTGCAAGATGGTGAGTTTCTCTTGATTGGGGCAACATGCGAGAGTGTGGTTAGCTTTAACAAGTGTTTAATGCTTGCATGCCTTCTCGCTCTCGACTGGTTCCACGCCGTCAGGTAGCTCTGCGTTAGCCTCCCGCGCAAGTACATATATACCTTCTTCTTTTTTATAGACTTCTTCTGTAGTGCGTCCACTTAACTTTACATTTTATTGTTACCCATTAGGTCTCACACTCATTGTCTTCATTCTTCCTATACAGGAGTCCCTGCTTCCACCTCCCGCATAATATAACAATCACTTGTTCGGAGAATTCTAAATATTATTAGAGACATTCCATTTTTCTTCTCTGGCCCTGCGACACTCGTGGAAATTACTTTTGGGGTTAGTCCCTAAATCAAGAACAATTCTTGTAGGGAATCTTGGAAATGCAGGAGATCCTAAGACTAGAACCAAACCCCACTGGTGCGTCCAAGCTCAAAATCAAATCTCGGCTGCAAGGAATTGCTTCTTGGCACCACGTCATCTACAAGAGGAAAATGCGCAGCTTACTTCCCTCCAAGCAAACCAGGCGTCCAGCGGGTCCGAGCTATATATGGAGAAACGGGAACCAAGGAGGGCGCCAACCCTGCAGGAAATGAGCAGGGTAAATCCATCGGGAACCTGCAAGCATATGACAGGATGTATGGTTCGTGTTGTGGACCAGTGTACTTTATTACGGTTACATGATATCGAAAATGAAAACGATTTTCATCATTTTTTTTTACTGATTCTTTGATCAAAAGACCTGAGAGACGTATTTTTTCCGACACTTGCAAACACTATCAATGTCTAGTATGCAGTATCCATTGACCAGGAGCATCACACGTTCCGAGATACCATCCCAGAATCCGAAACAAGGTCTATACAAGTACTTATATATACTTATATAAACCTTCATCCGGAACGTACTTTGCCGTTACCTTTATCTGGCGAAAGCAAACCCCTGGCCAGCGACCCCATGCAACCCCAAACGTCCTCCACTTGCCACTCTGACGGAATCTTTATATTTATCCCGAGGATGGAACTGTCACTTCCTCTATTCACGCTTCTCACCCTTTTCAGCGCTTCTACGGGCAATAATTTCTCATGTCACGTATATTTTCTAATGTTGTAGATCAATAAAACTCATTTGCAGCCCAGTACCAGGCGTTAAAGATATTTTTTTCTGTTCCGTGCTCTATCGTTACATTGAGACAGGAAACGGAATCCTAAAGAAACGTAGACCATTACATTTTATTAAATTCTTGATTATATGATTTTCTCTGGACTTTCACCTAAATCAATTTAATCATATTTCATCCACAGTATAAATCTTATTTTATTATTATTGTTTTAAATTGTTTATAGTTAGCGATAGAACCGAGCCACGGGGTTTTTATGTACACTTTTATTAAAATTTGTCTTTTATTCTTACTTTTATTACAAGTTCCATAATATTTTCATATGATTATTGCATACTTGTTTCTCTAATTTGGATTTTGTTTCCAAAATCACAAATTTTCCTTCTTTCTGTAAACATGATAGACTTCAACCACAACCTTATATCAGATTAGTGTTTGTGAAACGTTTTTTTTTAAGATACTGAGAGAACTGTTGCAGTAATCTAAACATCGGTGATAAGACTGCGTTCTTTTGCTTGGCATGCGTAACACAACTTCCATATATATGTTCTATGTAGTGTTTTATTACTTGTTCAAATTTCATGATCCGAATGAATGTGTTTTAAGGATAGTTTTTTCTCTACTAACTATGAAGGGTAAAAAAAAATAGTTACTTGAGAAGAGGACATTGCATCATCATTTCCAAAGTTATTAGCCTCTACGTTATTATGCATAAGGGTGAGTTTTGTATTGCAAGGAAATATGAGAGAGGGGACTTCAACTGAAACGTAAAAAGTGATCAACAACAGTGATATTTAGAAATTCATCAAAGGAATTTAGGTTCATCTGAAGTTGTATTAAATAGACTGTGAGGAATAATGGAGTCTTTCCCTTTAGGTGACCTTCTACCAA